ATATGGCGATGTGACGGCAGAAAGACACGACATAACCTGCATACGCACAAGCGAATTCTCCGGTATGGTCGTCATGGTGTGTGTCATGCTTCTCGTTCATTACCAGAAGGCTGTGCAGCTTTTGGTACAACGTCATACAACATGCTAGGGAGCATGCTTTTTGCAGACTTCCATATATCAAGAGCGGACAATGGCTAAAGACCGGCCAAACATGGCTGTAGACCACACGGTTGCTGACAAGCTACTGAGATCAAGTTGGCGTGGCACTTCAGTTTGACAATTTCTTTCGAAAAAAACATCTGTATGAGAGGACATTTGTCCGGATTTGTTCGCAATAAGAGTTGCTGTCAACCAGTGGCTAAAGCACGTCCTTAAGTGAAATTGTCCCGAAACTCACTGTGGTCACTTCCATCGCCACGATTGGCTTACAAACAACCGGGACGACATGCATAGGGACGGAAAGAAGCCAGCTGTGCCTCGTATTATTCCCATATCCAGGGCTCTGCATTGTTGAAAGGGTCACGCCTCTCCCTCGGGTCCTGCCAAAGGACCCGAGGGAGAGGCGTGACCCTTTCACTCATGTCTTGATTTTCACTCATGTCTTGATTTTAGCCACCAATCAGATAACCTTCTTGTATTTGCTTCTACCCGCCTAAAGTCTACTTTGCCCTTCCTGTCTGCCACAAACGACTCCAATTTTCGGATCATCCGCGGGCCCCATCTTCCAAGGAAGGGCGCTTTTGTGTTGGGAGGACGACATCCGGCGACTATAACGACCCAGCGTGGCGCCGTCTTCCCTGCACCTGTACCGATAGGGACATTACCCCCAGATGGGACGGGAGCACGTGTACGCCCCTGAAAAAGTTTCGACTGCATCGGAATAGGCAGTTGACGCACAGCCAGCAACAAGTGCGGTCGTCGGTGTCGCGAGTCTCGCGTAGGCGGCGAGCATGGAGTGACCCGTGCAACGTATTGAGACGGCTACAGTTCCAGGCACCCTCGTCGTCTACCAAGCCGGCGACATCTTCAGCGACACCCTGTCAACTCCCCTACGTGCACCAAGAGCTGGCTTGGTCCGTATGGAACTTTTTATTGTGACTTTTTTTTAAATCGTTAATTTATTATTATAACCAGCCCTTTTTTAAAATATTTGCAGTGTGCGCTGCGTCGCACGTCAAAGCTCAGAAGCGCGAGCCTGTTTTTTTTCTCTTTCTCTCGTAAATTTTCCTTGTCTCTCCTGTATTTCCATCTTGTTGTTGTTTTATTAATGTTCCGCATATTTTTCTTTAGTCTGTATATTTTGCAGTGTTTTTTAGCATATTTTGTTATATAGCTGTTCTTTCCATCGCGCGTATCAGTTTCCTCATTTGTTATTTTTGTTAACTCCTGCCTTTGCCCTTGTTTGAATTAAATGCTAGTTAGTTTTGCATAAAATCTCCGTGTCTGCTTATGAGTGCGTCGGTCAGGCCCACACATCACCAAACGTACAACCCCGCACGGGTCGACCGACCTGCAAATAAATTTGAAATGTGCCACTTCGAGGCCTTTCAGGCGTCGCAGGCCGAAGCGTAAAGTGGAAGCCTGCGAGTCTGCCGCCCGTCGATGTTGGATCGGCGGGGCCTCACCCGAAGTGTGTGACACTGTCGTTAAACCGCAGTGCTTTGAATAACTCTGCGCCATCATCCTGAACTGTAGGGTGAAGCCCTTTACAAGTCATTATCAAGTGCTCGGCAGTTTTCTCCTCTCCACACGCACAGCATACCGTGTCTAACCCTTCGTATTTAGCCCTGGAGCACTGCGCCGTGCTCCCGACCGGGTTGCAGAAATTAGGCGCCTTTTCTCATCTTCTAACCACTACCACCACCGATATGTCTTAGTTCGCAATACTCCCGTCCTGGCCTCAAACAGTAGAACTACCCTGATTATTATCGCAGATCCTTTCCCTGGCAATTTACTGCTTAAAAGTTCGATAGATCTCTAGTGCTGACTTCTCAATCATGCCCATTCTCCACAAGTCAGCCTCCGTTTCCTTCACCTACTGCTTAACCGATAGTTTTCTTTCTTTTCTTTTTTTTTTTTTGGTTTGGCCCGTCAATTTGCCCGTCAATTTTCTGGTTCACTTCCTCCATTTTGTATCGACATTCCTCGTGTACAAGTAGCCGGGCGAAGATATTCCGTGGCGCCATCTTCCGGAATCCAGTGACGTATTGTCACGGGGTCGTGAAGTCGAGGAACGGTGCAGACTGTAGGTCGAAGATGAAACTGTTTATTCGGCCAAACTTGTGGCCCGGAAACTGATGGTCAGGTTAAAGAAGCACACGGGCATTGTTAGCGGCGAACAGAGCGTCGGCCGGCGATCAACTGACCAGCGATTATTCGCACAAGCTCTCAAGTGTTCGCGTCTTGCTGAAGCAATCTTAACAGCACGACGTGCAGACGGGTCCACTGTGAAAGGAAACACCTGCGTTAGCAGCATGTTTAGATTTCGCTATCTTACAGAATCATAGCGGCTTAGATATGCATAAGGCTACTGGTGGTTTAAAATTCCGACTTTTCTTGACAGACTGTTGGCCTGCATGGAGGTTGTTTCTTAATTTACTTGCTTTTAGAGGGACAGAAATATTGATGGTGTGCATTCGAGCGTTCCCTTTAACAGTGGACCATACTGTACAATGATGGCGAACCTTCTCGAACAATGATGCGCAGTTCACGCTGAGCATCCCTGACAAAGGCTTTGTAGGCGAAAACCGATTATTGATTGATTGAGTTGTGGGGTTTAACGTTCCAAAACCACCATATGATTGTGAGACACGCCGTAGTGGATGGCTCCGGAAATTTCGACCCCTTGGGGTTCTTTAACGTGCACCCAAATCTGCATGAACACACGGGCCTACAACATTTCCGCCTCCATCGGAAATGCAGCCGCCGCAGCCGGGATTTGATCCCGCGACTTGTAGGACAGCAGCTGAGTACCTTAGCCACTAGACCAACGTGCACCTTGTAGGCGAAAACCGAATCAAACAAAATTGCAAACAAGAAACGCGCGCTCTTCGAATGAAAGCACCATCGCGGAAATTCACAGACTACTAAACCACCTCGATTATGAGCATTACACAGAAACTATGTCGAATCACGTCTAGAATTTGACGTGTTGAAAGACGCCAACCATTCGATTGCATGGTCGCTCACCCGATTTAAGACGTGGCAATCGAATCGCGAACCACTATTTGAGCGCTACACGTGCCACCCTCGTTTTCATTAACGATATGCATCCCTTCCCGTCAAGTGCGGCCACCGCAAAGAGTTTCGTTGAGATTGGGTACCAAACCGCAACTTAGATTCACGCGACCGCTATTGATCGAAGCGCAACCGACGCCGATTAGGCCTAGCCTGCCGTTTGGTATGTTGTCAAGGAGAGCTTGTCCAAAACACGGAGAATCGGCGTCAAAAAAATCGCACTAGCAGTGAACCAAGAACAGCGTGCATAGTGCAAAGTTCGCGTTCGTGGCCGGCAACGAGGACAACTCGCCAAGCTTACGTACGACAGCGCACTGGCAGCAAAAGTGAAAGCTCTCATCATAAAAACCATAAAAAGGTTTTCAATTTACGGCCAATGAAGCAAACGCGATATTTGTTGCAAGCGCGATAACGACGACGTCTTTTCTGACGGGAAACTGTTAAGCACATGCAGTTGATAAGGAAGGGATCGCACGCGCCACGTCGAGCGGCCGAAGCCACGCTAGCGACATAGTACGCTGTAGCCGCGTCGGCGCCGGTGCTTATCGGTCACCGAGGCAACCGTACTCTTCAAGCCCGTGCAGTGTCCTGCGGTCCTTTCCTTTTTTCTTTTTTTCATTTCCTTCCTTCCGCCCTTCGTTCGTTCACTCTGTGTTCCCTCCTCCTCTGTAACGACCCCGTCGTTCGCTCCCCAGCGGCGCACCATTTCAAGGCCGAAGGGCTGCCGCAGTGACGTCAGAGGGTGGGGGCGCAGCTACGCCGCGAATGCGGCGGAAAGCCTGTGTTTCGTTCACGTTTTAGGAGAAGCAACGCTCCCGCTGTCGCAGCTGCTGCGGCTAGATTTGGCCGAATAAAAGATGTGGGGAAAAAAAGTCTTACTGAGCATGCTCAGTTGGGCAACTGGGCCCCCAACCTCTGACGTCACTGCGGCAGCCCTTCGGCCTTGAAATTTTAGTCGGTGTTGACCCAACGCGCCTCCTTTCAGAAGCGCACTCGCCGGAAACCGCATCACAACTGGTCTTTCATCTAGGGGGGACTGCCCAATAAGCGGTGTGCGCATACATGGGGGTTTCATGGAACTGTAAATGGGAGTCTAAAAATACCGCATTGTAACCAGTTCTGCACTATAAGCGGTTAAGGGTTGGGAAAGAGGCAGGCGAGATGGCGAAGTCAAGCCAAAGCCAGCCGGGTGTCCGTCACCTCTGCTCTGGCTCAGCCTCGAGGGAGTTGATGAAAATCGTGCTAATTGTATCTTTAGCGCCATTTTAAGGCCTTAGGAGAAGATCAAAGATATGAATTCCTTTTGGAACACCTCGAACTTCATTTTTTTTGTTTTATAAATTAACAAGTTGTGTAGATTAATTAAACCATAACAGTTTTTCTAAATTTGCAACAGCTTCTCCTTCAGGCATGCGTCCTGGGTATAAGCCCAAATTTCTATCAAGAAATCACGCAGAGAGAGTAAAAAGAAAGGTTGGAAAAGGCAACAATGGCCGACAATGTGCCCAATGAAAAAAAAAAAAGAAGAAGCCTCACTTTGCATTCGACCACTGTTTTAGAGCTCATGTATACTTGACACGAGGTTTTTCTTTAGATGCATGTTCAGTTTACAATACAAGTAAATCAATTTTCATGAGTCTCCAAAAAGCCTATGGGTTTGGGTCAACCAGTGCATGTACTTTGCAACGATGCATTAAACAAGTCTACGTAACAAGACCACAGAAAACATGTGCAGATTTTCCTTGAATGAAGAGGCAGAACCAACAGGTGTTGACTATTTTGTTTATTTTTCTTAACTCCTTCAATCACAGTTCAGTGTGCTTTACGTTATCATTTCAGCGTTTATATCTGTTGAAGCACAAAGAACTCATGCACACGCGCAGTTGTACAAAAACATGAAAGAAGTGAACACTTCAATTTCAGCAGCATCCGTTCTTCGCTAGGACGATGCACTGCTCGACACGAGCGGAGTTTCTATTTCTTCCCTGAAACAACGAGAAATAGAAAACCCGCATTAGAAAATGCTACGAAGTACACAAAGCCAGTGATAAGCTGCATGAAGTGTTCCACGCCAAACCACATTTCGAAACGAGCCGTAGAAAACGACAGAAGTCGCAAAACACTACAACATGCTCCATCGACGTTTCGACTATTTTCCGCAAATCTCTCAACACATATCACCGAGCCATTAAGGGTGAAATGTAACAGGGTATTGTATTTACAATCTAGAGTACGCTAATAAATATCTCTCTTGCTCTATTTACAAAAATACGTTAAAAGCATTAAAAGACCCCTGACAGCGATGGCATTGTTTGAAACTTTTTACAGTAAGTTGTAGCTTTACATCTGGTAATGATGAAATTCAATCGTCAATGCACTAACACATTGCATAATTAATGCAAGCATTGTTAATTCAGAATGATTTTGCATCAGCTCAAAAAGCCCACCTAAATGCTGTAAGAAACTAGCACCCCACATCGGGACAGGGTCTGATACGAAATGCGCTCAAGCTTCGACGACGCTGAACTAATAGTTGTTTTCAAACGTGGGCCCGTGGGTGGTGCAGAATGAAACGAGGGTCCTTTGAGCGTGTCTCCCTCAGAAAAAAAAAAAAAGCATTCCTGGCTTTCAGGGAGCCAGTTGGCATATTTTGCGCGCCCCGCAAATGTTTTCCGACATCGACAATACTTGCTTGACCTCTGTAATGTCACACAGGTACCTCTGTCTACATCAAACCACAAAAAATGCTGACTGGACCCAAATACTAGAGTGAGCACTCACTTTAAAAACAAATTAACGTATCTCATAGGCAACGCTCGTCCCTGATAATCCCTGATCGGCCAGCATGCACAACCCTCAAACAACATGGGCATCTCAAGTTTCCAAGTTTGGTGTCAGGGGTCCTTTAACGGCTAAAAAAAAAAAGCAGAAAATAAACCCTTTGAGGTTTCCTGTACACATTTGTGTGAGCAACTTGCTTTTGTCACATATGAAAACTAGTGGAATGAGGAAGGGCAAGATACGGTGATGTTTGGATGAACTGAACCTGCTGATGTGGCACTTTCTGTGAGCCATGTATAAACTATTTTTTTTATTCAAAATGAACACAACCAAAAATAAAACTACTATACATAACATTTTTAGCCCAACATTTGATCCTACACACGAAAAAAGAAAACATCATGATGATGTTCCAAAAGATATTTAAGTTTAAATGAGGATTAATTACTATACCACACAAGGAGCAACATACCACATTATTTTTATTGCAATAGAATACCGAGTGCCGGGAAATAACGCTATGCAAATTTAGCGCACTTATACAGGGTACTTTATAGGTTGTGCCTGACAGAGTTCATGGACAACTTACCTAACTGACACGAGATTGAATGAAGGCAGTGTAACTGCTGTAACTGCCAACAACAGTCAGCAGTTTTCCAATGCTGGCCATCATTTTGCCAACATTACCAAATTATAGTTGATTCCGGGAGTATGTATTAAGGTTGTTGGATTTGGTACCAAGTCATTGCCAACATCGCCCAAAATCGCCAGACGACATACAACATTACACTGTCTGTGAAGGAGACCGAAAGAGGCAGTATGCTGTATTTTCAAGCAATCCTTGACTCTCAGCTGTTCTTTTACTCTGTGAAGTTTTGAGCTCACTTTCGAGCCGGTTTGTGACACCACCTAACAGTGGTGTAGGCGATGTCACAAATCAGTGGGAGTTTGTCACAGTCGTGAAGTTCAGAGGTTAACGAGAACTAAGTTCAGGGACGCCATACCAAGTGGTGGACTGTTCATATGTCATGAAATACAAAGCTAGTTGGAGAAACACCAAGCAGTCGTAGGTGATTGGCCTGACCATTCACAGCACAAAAAATCCTTAAACGGAAGAGGTCACTGCCTCCACCGACACCCCTTGTTGAAGAATTTTTCCTATGTTCTAGGGTCATACTCTCCTGAACCTCTGTCTCATTTGCAAGACCAAGGCCGCGTCATCGTCGTGACAGCCAGCGGTAGTAGAGTTGCAAAGCCCAAACCTGGTTATTAGCCAGCAAACCAATAGTGGGCAGTGTCCCCAACCAGATGTAGTTAGTGATTGTAACCTGATTGTGAGTTGGTAAGTGCCATGCAAACCAGTGGTAGCTCATTAGTGCCACCAGCCATTCATAGTGCCACACTAACCGATCACACTAGATTGACGTCATGCCTTCTGGTGCAAGTTGGTTGATGTCACGAAGCCCAAAGCCGGTGATGCTCATACAAACCAGCAGCAGTTGGTTTTATCAAGTGCGAAGCCAGTTGAAGTCACAACTATCGGAAAATGTAACAATTGTGCCTCATATTTCTATTATTGGAACACCTGTTCCAAAGGGCACTGAGGAAACCTAGTGCATGTACAAAGACTTTTCCAGTAACTGTTTGGGCATCACTCTCACACACAGTCAATGGGACAACTGCTGCTGTTACTGCCACTAATAGGTTAGTGAAGCTATTGCCATCCTTTGCACAATGCCCTCTAATGTACCACAAGCGAGGAGTCTCTTACGGACCCATGATAAACCACTTGGGCCTGTTTCCACTTTTCGTTGCCGACTTCTGTGCCTTAGGTGGCGACTTCGGTGGAGACTTCGGCGGAGTTTTTGCACACGGCCTTGTGGGCGACACTGGCGGTGTCTTGGGACTGGACGAACGGTTGTGTGGCGACCGCGGCCGTGGCACCGCGGCAGTGGTCTGGCTATGCACGTCTACTTTGTGATCTGACCTGTGAGGGCAGTTGTTAGGCAGGTCACTACTTTTACATGCCCGTCGAGAGGCTTTAATTTAAGACGTTATGAACTGGAGACTGGTCGACGCTACGAAGTGCCCTACAAACAGAAGGAGAAGGCTTGGCACATCTTCATTAAGAAGAGATGGTTCTTGTAGGATGACTCATCCCAGGTTAGGTTGGTGTATATCAATCTAACCCGGGATGTGTCGACCTGCTAGAACTATAAGATGTGCGTCCTGCTGCTTGCAATGTACAACTTGCCGCTGTAGCTTACGCCGGCAAGCAACACTTGCACTTCAACTGAATTACGCTAGAAACAATGTTTGTGCTCAGGCATGTTCTTTCAAACCGAGAAGCACAAATATTGCATGTAAAGCAAAATAAAAGAATGTAACCAGGCTGATGCGTCACAGTAGAAGTACCCTCTCTTTCGCTTCTCGCCTGAAAATGAAAGGAAAACACGTTGTGTAGAGTAAAGAAGAAAGAAGTGCCTCTCCTTTTCAATGCTTCAGCCTTCTATTGTACATCTCGAGTGTGCTGCAATTCACCTGAGCCGTCTTCATTGTAGTGCACCGTTCGAAAAAAAAAGTGAACCATTTCGAGTAAATGGCCAGCCCAAAGTTCAAGAGCATAGAAAAACTCTAGGTTAGCTGACGCAGTCTCGAACTGCACATAACATTCATGGCTGCGGTCAATCGCATTTATACCACTGCTGTATGGACAGCTCAACATAATCGTAGGGGTTTTTACGACCTAAAAACACCATACGATTATGAAAAACGCCATAGTGGAGGGCTCCAGAAATTTCTACGATCTGGTATTCTTTACCACGCACCGTAATACACCGGCCTCTAGCATTTTCAAATAGATTAAAACGCGACCGCCACGTCAAGGATTTCATCCCGAGACTCTCGGGTCAGCAGTCAAGGCACCATCATCACGAGACCATGGTGGCGGGTGCGTCGACAGCTTGCAGTAGTGAATGAGCGGCTTCCTTTGTCGAAACTTGCTCGCGGCTGTCCCCTTCAGCCAACTACACAGTCTTCAAAGCTCAACGCAAGCTGCGATATGGAGGTCGCATTCATGTCGCTGGTGAATGACATCCACTTCCTTCAACCTCGAGATGCGCATGGAAACGCTCGAGAAGATGAACTCTTGCTAACTGCTAAGAGTCCTACGCGTACATCTTCATCATCCACCATGCATGCAGCCAGTGAAATCAAGCAGCACTAGTGCACATCTGCAAACTCCTAAAATACGTGAACAGCACACAAACATGACAAGATCCATGCATCTTGTCCTCGTTTTTTAACTGTACCCTAAACACACCCACCTTTGTGAAGTACATACAAGCCCTATTAGGAATATTTTCCCTTCACATGCTCCATGCAAGCGGAAGCAAACTGATTGATTGATATGTGGGGTTTGTTGTCCCAAAACCATCATATGATTATGACAGGCACCGTAGTGGAGGGCGCAGGGTGGAAGCAAACTAGGAACAGTCGAGGCTGTGTACACAGGTGAATAAACTTGCTCTCTTGAAAAACAGTTTCTCGCATTGCCATCAGATGTACGATTACAATTTTTTTCTTTGCACGCATTTTGCCTCCTCGCATCCTCAAACAACTGCATCAATTGCAGTAAACAGGAAACACAAACAATTGCACGTAAACTACACACAACTCTAGTACTTATACAATAGAACGAGCGCAAAATCTTATAAACAGCATAAAAAAATATGGGAGATCTGGCGGGCACGACAATGCTCTCTGCGTGCTCAAAATGAAAAAAAAAAAAAAAGGCCACACCTCAGCCGCGTAGCTGCCGCTGTGGCCCCGCCTGGTGTCGAGACCATGCTCAGAACGTCCTCACGGAGAAGCGGTACCCCTGGCTTCATCGCACCGCCAAAGTGGACCACCGAGGCAGGAACCAAGTTAGCCTGGATAGACACGTATGAAAGTAACGAACAACTTGAGTTGGAAAGTCAGATCAAATCTATTGCACATCGGCAAATCCAAAATGGCCGCCCCCTACGTGCATCGCGCATGGCCCGTCTGCCATTTCTGCCATGTGTTCCTATGTGCGCACTTCGTACGTGTGCTGAGGAGTTCGTCTCTAGTAGTGCATTAGCATCGACGGCTTGGAAGGGCCGACTCCAAAACTCAAATGCACCACGATGCCGCTTTTAAAAGAAAAGTCATGCGCGTGTGCAGAAACGGACGGAAATCCGGCCGCATCGCGGTCGTTCAGAGTTCCCGAAACGTGCGTGCGGGACCGGCGGAAACAAAAGCAGAAGATTGTCGACAGCAAAGCGTCACGCAAAGGCTTCAGTGGACCACAGCAGGGTCGGTTTCCGCAAATTAAAGAGCTGCTCGGCGAGTATGTGCTTGAGCAGCGAGCGGCACAGCGGCCCGTGACGACAGAACTGCTCCAAGTGCGGGCTATGCAATTAGTTTTAGAAAAAGGGCTAATGCGGAGCCAGTTTAAAGCGAGCAGGTGCTGGCTAACTGACTTTATGAAGAGGAAAGGCTTTTCCCTCCGAAGGGGAACATGCATATGCGAAAAATTTTGCGGAGGAGTACAATGAAAAGCTTCACAGTTTTCAGAGGTTCGTCCTAAACTTGCGGCGCAACAACGGCTACCTGCTTGGGCAAATTGGGAATGCCGATCAGACGCCTCTTTACTTCGACATGCCTGGCACCACAACCGTCGAGAAGAAGGGGGCGAAGCAAGTTCGCGTGCTGACATCGGTCCACGGTAAAACTACAGTGACTGCAATACTCTGTTACACGTCAGATGGGCACAAGCTTCGCCCGTACCTCATATTTAAATGGAATACGCTCCCGAAAGGAGTCGTTTTTTTGAGTGGTGTGGTTGTGCAGGCCAGCGAGAAAAATGGGTGCACGTTTGCAATCGATGTCTTACGTTTTTTTTTTTTTCGGCGGGTGGAAATCGGGTGCGCGTTACAATCGAGGGCGCGGTAGAATCGAGTAAATACGGTAAAATTATGAAGAACGCCATAGTGGAGGGCTCCAGAAATTTCTACGATCTGGTGTTCTTTATCGCGCACCAAAATACCCCGGCCTCTAGAATTTTCAGATAGATTAAAACGCGACCACCGTGTCAAGGATTTCATCCCGAGACTCTCGGGTCAGCAGTCAAGGCACCACCATCACGAGACCATGGTGGCGGGTGCGTCGACAGCTTGCAGTAGCGAATGACCAGCTTCATTTGTCGAGGCTTGCTCGCGGCTGTCCCCTTCAGCCAACTACACAGTCTTCAAAGCTCAAGGCAAGCTGCGATATGGAGGTCGCATTCATGTCACTGGTGAATGACATCTGCTTCCTTCAACCTCAAGAAGCGCACGGAAACACTGAAGAAGATGAACTGTTGCTAACGGCTAAAAGTCCTACGCATACATCTTCATCATCCACCATGCATGCAGCCAGTGAAATCAAGCAGCACTAGTGCACATCTGCAAACCTGCGAACTCCTAAAATACGTGAACAGCACACAAACATGACAAGATCCATGCATCTTGTCCTCGTTTTTTAACTGTGCCCTAAACACACCCACCTTTTGTAAAGTAAATACAAGCCCTATTAGGAATATTTTCCCTTCACATGCTCCATGCAAGTGGAAGCAAGCTGATTGATTGATTGATTGATATGTGAGGTTTGTTGTCCCAAAACCATCATATGATTGTGAGAGGCACCGTAGTGGAGGGCTCCGGGTGGAAGCAAACTAGGAACAGTCGAGGCTATGTACACAGGTGAATAAACGTGCTCTCTTGAAAAACAGTTTCTCGCATTGCCATCAGATGTACGATTACAATTTTTTTCTTTGCATGCATTTTGCCTCCTTGCATCCTCAAACAACTGCATCAATTGCAGTAAACAGGAAACACTAACAATTGCACGTAAAACTACACACCAACTCTATACTTATACAGTAGAAACGAGCGCAAATTCTTATAAACAGATAAAAAAATATGGGAGATCTGGCGGGCACGACAATGCTCTCTGTGTGCTCAAACTGAAAAAAAAAAAAAAAAAAAAAAAAGGCCACACCTGAGCCGCGTAGCTGCCGCTGTGGCCCCGCCTGGTGTCGAGACCATGCTCAGAACGTCCTCACGGAGAATCGTACCCCTGCTTCATCGCACCGCCAAAGTGGACCACCGAGGCAGGAACCAAGTTAGCCTGGATAGACACGTATGAAAGTAACGAACAACTTGAGTTTGAAAGTCTCCGAATTGTTGCCATGCGCCCATATTTCTTTATTTCTATACGATCGGGTTTCAACCATGAGCGCCGCTCACTGTAGACTACACAGCAATGTTTCACAAGCTCCGCAATTGTTTCAGATTGTTCGGTCATGATTACACGTAGGACGCGACTAGTCGAGTATATTCGGGAGCTTATTAAGCGAGGACCAGAGATGAAACGGAAAGGTTTGATCAGTGATGAATAAAAGACTAAGCATTCCACAAGCGATGAGATTGGGGTTGTAAAAGACTGTTTCTAACGTTTGACGTTTTTTTCATTCTACGATATTGACCACAATGTCAATAACGTACATTTCAAAAACCCATCTTTTAAGAAGTCAGTGCACGGACAACTAAATAGCAATATTTAAAACATATCACCTCTATTAGTGTTTGCCTTTGATCCAGGACTTGTTTTGGAGGAGACGTATCTGCACAGGTGAAAAGAATTCGTTGTAAGTTGGTTCGCCCGTACTTGCTCATGTACAAGAGCATCAATGTGTTTTGCCAGTTAGCCAGTACCAATGCAAGTATGGAAATTTCATTGCAAGAATATAGTGAATGAACTCCAGCGGCCTCAAATGTACCATATTGTCACGATGAGTCACAAGTACAGGGGGATTTATTGAACGACCGGGTAGCTAGCTCTAGGACGATGCGTCAGTCGTGGCTGGCTCTCGAGCAGAGAAGAAGACACACGATCTTCTTTTTCCTCCAGATTGAGAGCCGCTCTTGCTGTCGACCCACTACGTGCTGGTGGCATTATCCCCCCTTCCGAAAAGAAAAAAAAAAAAGTCCCAAAAAGAGGAAAGAAAAGTACATAGCATCACCGCGATGCTACAACATAGGCACGTGAAAAAGAAATTGGAAATTCGGATAAAGTGAAAGTAAAGATTGAAGAGCATGCCAAAATAAGAAACGTCAATGAATGAGAAAGCAAGTTCACACAAATAAACAAAAAAAAAACACAAAGGATGCTGTACAGTAAAGGAAAAGTTACGAGCAACGCGCAATAAATGGTTTCATGCGCAACACATGAACGACGTCCGGCCTCAGCCGTGTCCTACTCCGTGCATGGGGTGTTGAGTCCGGAACCACTTCGTAGTTCACGTCACTGACGCGGCGTAACACTTTATATGGGCCAAAGTACCAGCTCAGCAACTTTTCACTAAGGCCACGGCGGCGGACGGGCGTCCACACCCAAACTTGATCTCCGGGGCTGTAAAACACTTCTCTGTGGCGGGTATTATAGCGTCGTGCGTCTGCCTGCTGTTGCTGGCCTATGTGCAGTCGCGCGAGCTGCCGGGCTTCCTCAGCACGCTCTGCGAATTCTTCGGCGTCAGTTGCCAACTCGTATTCGTCTTGACACGGTAGCATGGAGTCTAGCATGGTCTGTACTTCGCGGCCGTAGAGAAGCTGAAATGGCGTGAATCGCGTGGTCTCTTGCACGGCGGTATTATACGCGAAGGTCACGTAAGGCAAGATCCGGTCCCATGTTTTGTGCTGTACGTCGATGTACATTGAGATCATGTCTGCGAGGGTCTTATTTAGTCGCTCGGTAAGTCCGTTGGTTTGCGGGTGGTACGCAGTTGTCCTTCGGTGTCTGGTGTTGCTCAGTTTGAAAACTTCGTCCGTAAGCTGCGCCGTGAATGCCGTCCCTCTGTCCGTTATTACACTGGAAGGAGCACCGTGTCGTAACACGATGTGGCGCATAAAAAATTGTGCTACCTCAGAAGCCGTGGCTCGTGGGATCGCTTGGGTTTCAGCGTAGCGTGTCAAATAGTCGGTCGCGACGATCACCCATTTGTTGCTGTCTGCAGACAGGGGAAATGGCCCGAGAATGTCCATGCCGACTTGGTCGAATGGCGTGCAAGGTGCTTCAATGGGCTGAGCAAACCAGCTGGCTTAACAGATGGTTGCTTTCGGCGCTGACATTCCCGACAGCTCTTGACGTACTTCTTGACGCTTGCCGAAAGTCCTGGCCAATAGTACCTCTCACTCACTCTGGCAAGTGTCCGTGAGTAGCCCAGATGACCTTGTGGTCCCAAAACCATCATATGATTATGACAGGCACCGTAGTGGAGGGCGCAGGGTGGAAGCAAACTAGGAACAGTCGAGGCTGTGTACACAGGTGAATAAACTTGCTCTCTTGAAAAACAGTTTCTCGCATTGCCATCAGATGTACGATTACAATTTTTTTCTTTGCACGCATTTTGCCTCCTCGCATCCTCAAACAACTGCATCAATTGCAGTAAACAGGAAACACAAACAATTGCACGTAAACTACACACAACTCTAGTACTTATACAATAGAACGAGCGCAAAATCTTATAAACAGCATAAAAAAATATGGGAGATCTGGCGGGTACGACAATGCTCTCTGCGTGCTCAAAATGAAAAAAAAAAAAAAGGCCACACCTCAGCCGCGTAGCTGCCGCTGTGGCCCCGCCTGGTGTCGAGACCATGCTCAGAACGTCCTCACGGAGAAGCGGTACCCCTGGCTTCATCGCACCGCCAAAGTGGACCACCGAGGCAGGAACCAAGTTAGCCTGGATAGACACGTATGAAAGTAACGAACAACTTGAGTTTGAAAGTCTCCGAATTGTTGCCATGCGCCCATATTTCTTTATTTCTATACGATCGGGTTTCAACCATGAGCGCCGCTCACTGTAGACTACACAGCAATGTTTCACAAGCTCCACAATTGTTTCAGATTGTTCCGTCATGATTACACGTAGGACACGACTAGTCGAGTATATTCGGGAGCTTATTAAACGAGGACCAGAGATGAAACTGAAAGGTTTGATCAGTGATGAATAAAAGACTAAGCATTCTAGAAGCGATGAGATTGGGGTTGTAGAAGACTGTTTCTAACGTTTGACGTTTTTTTCATTCTACGATATTGACCACAATGTCAATAACATACATTTCAAAAACCCATCTCTTAAGAAGTCAGTGCATGGACAACTAAATAGCAATATTTAAAACATATCACCTCTATTAGTGTTTGCCTTTGATCCAGGACTTGTTTTGGAGGAGACGTATCTGCACAGGTGAAAAGAATTTGTTGTAAGTTGGTTCGCCCGTACTTGCTCATGTACGAGAGCATCAATGTGTTTTGCCAGTTAGCCAGTACCAATGCAAGTATGGAAATTTCATTGCAAGAATATAGTGAATGAACTCCAGCGGCCTCAAATGTACCATATTTACTTGATTACCCATCGATTGAAAACCCATGCAGCCTTCCACCCGAGGAAAGACCTCATCACTGCAGCACGCATACATATTTTTGAGACAATACACAAATGCAACACCCTTCATATCCAACTTGCTAGCTTTTCGCAATGAGAGACCGTAACAGATATTCATTATCATTAAAAATAAAAAAAACATAGCACATCATATCCAGATCAATCCAAACTGAGAATGTCTTAGACAATGACAGCACGCTCATTTCAGTAACCCTACTTCTCATAAAGGTCAAGTCTTAATTATTGCACAAATCTTGCGATTCAAGGCTAGCACAACATATTTAGCAATCTGTCCCCTATAAGCATTGTTCGAATTCAATGCAGTTAAAATGTCACAATACGTAAACTAAAATTTGCACTGACAAATTTGTTGCCTATGAAGAAGCTCGACATTCCGAGCCCCCTAAGAGGTCGAATAAGTAAAGCATGCACAGAGATGGTGGTTTTGAAGAGTGCACTCAAACCTCGATATTACGCACTCGTGTATAACGAAATAACGGTTATAATGAATCAAATGAAATCTCTTACAATGAATATAGTGTTAGGAATATAGCTTCATAACGAATTTTTGGTTATAATAATCTTATTTTCGTCTAATAAGCAATTTTGTTATAGCGACGTTTTGAGTGCATTGGAAGGGAAAAGAAAGTGCTCACAAAGACTGAAGTCCATAGTGTTGTCCCTGAGGAAGCCCCGCACGAACTGTACCATGTCGGCCACTGAAATCGAAAAAGGAAAATTGAAAATCTTCCCGAGAATATTGTGGAGCACGGTAACAAGGAACATATAGAATTAGACTGCAAACAAAAAAATTACCATGGAGGGCGAATTCTCTCCAAGGGGGAGACCCTGTTTCAGAACCACGTCCAGTTTTTCAGTAGATTCATGGAACTTTCGCAGCTTGTGTATTCTTACGTGCAGATTTCGAACGTGAAGTTATTGTTCTAATACAACATTTCATTTTCCAGATACTATTCCTAAACTGCGAGAATTATAAAGCAAATCTGCATGTCACAATAAGATGCAATGAGCAACGTATGCAGCTAATAATGGGCCGCAAGTTCAATTGGCCTTGAAGGGGCCCTGCAACACTTTCTCAAGTAATCATTGAATGTCTTCATTAATGGAGTTTGCTTCCTCGAAAGCTTCTAGATTCCTTCAAATTCGAGCAGAGTTACAGGAACTAGTTGCAGACTTTAAGCACATTCTATCTCTTTTCATATCAGAAAGGGCTCTGTAAGATATGCAGGTGGAGGAATCACGAGAGGGCAAGAAGATGCCATCATTTTGAGCATTTTCTCTCCCTTTTTTTCATCATCATCATCATTTATTTTTTTTAAAGGACCCTGTTAAAATATTATATAATGGTGGGTGGGGGGGGGGGGGTAACAGAAAGATAGACATGCAACTTTTCAGGTCACAAACTTGGAACACACTTCTCGAAGAAATGGAATACTTGCTCAAATGCAAAAATAGGTTAACAGTCCTGTTTTTTCTTCGAAAGGACGGCTAACTTTCAACGTGAACGTGAGCTTACACTGGCACATGGCACCATCTCGTGGTGGCTGCTGTTACTGTGCAACTCGCGATGCTCAAATCAGCCAATAGCCTTGGAGTGTGGGTTTATGACACGGTCATTTGGATCAATGGCAACATCTGTCAATATAGCAGGGAACAATATTCAGCATACTTTGATAACGAATTGAGAATTCCAGGCCGCATGCTTCGCTATAACGTTTGGCTCATGTGTTCTCGGGCACCTCGACTACTGATGGCAATGTTTTCCGACCACACTTAAAAAGTGTTGCAGGGACTAATGCAGCCATAACATGGTCACCAGAAAACTTGCTGCTTTCAGCAGAACATGAAGGTACAGGGTTCATTGTACCAGCACATATCCGAGAAATACACAGTAGAAGGATATTTAAGTTCAAAATAAGCCCTAGATGCCGCAGACCATAAGTCCCGCACACCGCCAGCGACCGCCACTTTACCACTGATGTATGACATCACGTGCTGCACCGAACGGAGTCGTCACCTTCTACCAAAGCTTCAGCTGCTGCAAGTCCTTCGGCTTCAATGCCAAGCTGAAGAAAGCTGAAATAACTCGAATGCAAGCACAGCCGACCAGGGAACAATATCGGTCACCAAATGCAGACGCTTGCATAGCAAACAGCTTGTTGCGACGCAGCTCACGAGTGCACCAGTGCTGCACAGGTTTCAAACCGCTCACGTGGCATCTATAAAAATATTGAATTATAAATTAAGTGCTCAATCAACTGCCCTAATACTTCATCAGCTTATTTATAAATGTGGAAAGGTTAAACCAGATAACACGATTTGATCGAAAATTTCGTGTCAAGGCCTCTTTGAAGGGCCAGTCGAAAGGCTCCGAAATTTTTTTACACCCCATTCCCCCCCCCTCCCCCCCCATTCCCCCCACCCCCATTCCCCCACCTCCAAAGAAACTCAGCAATTCGTTGAGTAGACCGTGGCAATCACATTTTACGAATACTATTATAGCGCTGCACAGAGCCTACATTTCGAAAAACGATTCCCGCGCTCCCTTTGAATGCCTGACCGATCCCCCTTTTACGCCCAGTGATGCAAAGTCGCGACCGGCGACTTGATGTAGCACGCAGCTCGTCTATTGGTCTAAACCTGTCCCGACGACGGGCTACGCCTTCCCCTCCATGTGAGAGAGAAGGGTGGCGAAGCCGTGCGAAAATTTGAAACCAGCTGAAATTAATGTTTTAACCCCTGTAACTTCCTTCATATAGCACATATTTTCAAAATTCTTGCAGCAACATGTTCACAAAGAATAAGGGCACATTTTTCCCATAAATTTTTTTTTTAGCTAGGGTTGTTTACTGGCCCCCTTAAGGTGAGAGAGAATGCTCACCTCGTTCCTCTGACAGGAATGTTCCTTGAAGCACGTACCGGTCCGGAAAGTAGATCCTGATCAGAACGACGGGATAGTGTCTCGCGAGGCGCTCCTGCCGCTGCTCGCGCAGCTGCTGCGTCTCCAGGGGACGGTTCTCCAATGCGTCCCTGTTGGACGAGAAAGAGAACTTGCACGGCTGTCCACTTCTTTGCAAAATCTTTCAAGAAAGCTTTCTTATCAATCGGTACACCAACATGAAAGCAGTGCAGCACTAAGTGTTATTACTTGCCAGCTATGAAAAGAACAATCGTAGTAGTGGTGGTGGTGGTGGTGGTGGTGGTGGTGGTGGTGGTGGTAGTAATGGCGGCAGTTGTAGTCTTAATATAGTAGCAGCAGTAGAAAAGAGCATTACCAAGAATAGTCCAGTACAGCAATAATAGAAGCAGCAGTATTATTAGCAGTAGCGGTCGTAGTCGTATTACCAGTATTTAGTCTTATGAATGAATACATGAGGAACAAAATGAAATGACATAGGCATCGCACTTCACATTAGAGCATCATTATAATGATGTGATGATCGTAACGATAATGCTGGAACATGAATAACTTAAGGAACACCACTGCAATGCAGTACCGCCATTGGCGTACCTCTGCCTCTTGTAGTCTGCCAGGAGGTACTTGGCATCCTCTATGGTGACTTCATAAAAGCTGTCCCCAAACTCATCTGCAAGTCATAAGAGAAGGTACCTTCCGTTACTTGAGATAGTATACTTAGACAAAAAAGAGCTTTGAATCCATTTTAAGCATGAACTACATGTGCGAGCAAGAAAGATTTATCAGTAAAAGCTCGTTAATTCGGATGTCACGGGACTGGAAAAACTGTCCGAATTAACCGAATGCCGAATTAACGAATGAACAGGGAAAACAACATTTAAAATCAAGCTGCAGAAGCATACCTTTATTTGTTAAAGTATTTTGTAATTGTCGTCTGCGTTTTCACGCAGATTCCGGCTGACATCACAATTTTTCTTAACTGTTCCAAATGGCCAACAGCACGCAAGCTGTCGGGAGTGTTCAGGCAAGCGTCCTCCAATATTAACAGCGCCTCCGAGACTTCCTGTGAGGTGCGATGAGGTCGCGGCTGTATCTCCTCGCATGATTCTTCGTCGGACTCGTGGTCTTCATGGGCGCCCGTGACATCATTAATAATCTCTTGATCGGTCAGGAGACCCCTCGTGGCGACACCATAATCAATCGCGATGTAGTCCTGAAAGGTCACATCTGTGGGAAGGACAGCATCGAAAGTCGGGCAGTCATCGTCGGTGGACTCGGCTGACATCTCCTCGATGCCATCGTCAGCTACTGCTGCATGCTCGGGCCTCACAAAACCACTGTGCCGAAAACAGTTGGCGATGACTTGCGGCGGAGTGTTTTTCCACACGTAGGCGATGATGTGCACTGCGCCGAGTAAGTCCACTTGATTCAACTTTCCAGCTTCTGAGCATAGGATCATTCGCTCTAGCAGGTGCTTGCGGTACTTCGACTTCACGTAGTGAATGATACCCTGGTCTATCGGCTGAAGAGCAGACATAGTGTTGGGCGGCAAAAAAACTACTTTGATGCTCTTCAGTTCGACTATACAGTTATGGGCACTGCAGTTGTCAACAACCATAATTACCTTGCGGTCCTTCGACGTGAAGTGCCGGTTCAACTGCTGCAGCCAGCCGCGAAAAATGTCCAATGCCATCCATGCCTTCCTGTTCGCTGTGTACTCGACAGGAAGGCTTTTGACGTTCTTAAAACAACGTGGCTTAAGCGCCTTCCCGACGCCAAGTAGTGGCAAGCGCTCCGTGCCAGTCATTGGTGGCAAGAAGCACAGTTATCCTTTGCTTGCACTTCTTGCCACCAATGCACGCGTCCCCTTTGAAAGTAACCGTCTTGTCGGGCAGAGCTCTGAAAAATAGAGCAGTTTCATCTGCATTGAACACGTCACGTGGTTCATATGCAGCGATGTGCTTCAGCAGCTTCACATTTCTCCACTCGGTGGTCACGCTTTCGTCAACACTGGCCTTCTCGCCGCACACACTCCTGAAGACAAGTTCGTGTCTCTCTCAAAACCTCGCTAACCACCCTTCTGACGCTTTGAACGATTCAATGTTCATCATTGCAGCGTACTTCTCAACTGGCGCCATGATGAGAGGTCCGCTCAAAGGCAGATGCGCGTTGCGACAGTCGGTAATCGACCGGAGCAAAGCTTCTTCGAGCTGGGGATGAGCTGCGGTTCGCAACCGCTTTCTAGAGGCATGAAACTTCTCGCTTTCGAAGGCTTGTCGGATCTGTTGTTCACTTTTCACGTACGTTCCCAATGTGCTCCGCTTCACGTTGTACTTGGTCATAACCTGCTGTCGCGATTCGTCGTTCTTCAATGCTTCCAAAATTTCCACTTTAGTCGCCAAGTTCTTCGCGTCGTAGTTCTGCCGCTTTTTCGGCGTTGCCATCACTGTAGCGCACGATGGTGGTGGCATGCAAATACGGTCACAATGGAAGAAAAAGAGAACTCCGCAAGAAGAGATGGTTCCGACACGACAACACAAGGGAAAATGGCGTGGGAGGCACTGAGTGGAGAAGAAAGAAGACGCCGACGCTCGGTGACGCTGCGATCGCCCCCACTAGTTGATGATGATGGCGATGCCACTCAGGCTTCGGTTTCACTCCAGTGGTGCCAGCGCTGTTTTATCACACTTTTGTGTAGCAGCAGCCGTCAGCATTTGTCCGAATTAAGCGGTGCGGAGCCGAATTCCGACGAAATAACGAAGGTTTGGTCCCATAGATTAACAAGCACTTTGGCCGGGACCAATAGAGCCGTCCGAATTATCCGAATTAACGGGTGTCGAATTAACGAGCTTTTACTGTATAATGGCTCAACCAAACTATCCTAGCTGCCGACCCAAACGAACTTATGTCTAGCACTTTCACAGTTTCTCACAGAGCTCAGGTCTTTCAGAGAAATTGAGTTTCTTTACAGGGCCAGAATCGGCGCAGAGTGGGTACTGAAGGAGAGTCCTGCAGAAAAGTGCACCGCGACATCACGGAGCGTATTCATTGTTTGATCGATACTATGTGGGGTTTAACGTCCCTGAACCACCATACGATTATGAGAGACGCCGTAGTGGAGGGCTCCGGAAATTTCGACCACCTGGAGTTCTTCAAAGTCCCTCCAAATCTGAGCACGCGGGGCTACAGCATTTCAGCCTCCATCGAGAATGCAGCGGCCGAAGCTGGTATCCGAACCAGTGACCTGCGGGTCAGCAGCCGAGTACCTTAGCCACTAGACCACCGCGGTGGGGCCCACATTCGTTCTTTGCATGCACAGAAAAAAGCCTAGTAATCATGCATTCATGTCCCAGTGCTCGCATCACACAAGCATCTCTAGTGAGATGCTGGTGTGATGCGAGGACTAACTATAGAAACTCACTGTGAGAAACTCACTAGCACACTAGCATCTGCTAGTGAGTTTCTTGACTAAAAAAAAAAAAATTTGACTGTTTGTGCTACACAACTGTTTACTGTCCATGCCGTATATACAGGCGCTGGATCTTCACCTCCGAGGTAGTGTCAGTGGGAGATCTCTCCTGCGCGTGGTTGAACAATAAAAATTTGCAGAGTGTGCAGTAACTAAAAGCGGACTGCGTGTCTCTGTGTCCAATCGGAGTCTCCCGTCTCTAGCAGGCCATTAGCAGCCATTAGCATGTTCCAATAGGAAACACCGGTCCGTCACTGTGTGCTTTGCGCCTTCCCAGGTTTCTCTCCTGCGCAATGCCGTGATGAGTGCCAGCGTCAACACCACTATCAGTGTCAGTGTTAGCGCCTTCTGCTTCGCATCTACACATGGTTCCCTTTAGAAAGAGATGGTGTAATTTTTTTTGTTTGCTTTTTAATTTTTTTTTAGCATTCAGTTTTTACTCATCATGTTTAGTGTGGTGCTAATGTTGTATAATGTGTTACATTTGTTCATTACCGTTATTTATTGCATCAGTTTTCAGTCACTGTGTTTAACATCTTTCCACATTTTCTGGCAATACTTCTTGAACAATATTGCAAGTCTCATTTTCGTTGATCTATTGCAACCCACTGCCCTTCTCCCATGCCTTGTCGGTACAGGGTAGGCAAAATGAGTACATAAAATAAGCAAACTAATAAAAAAGCCAGGACATTTCGGAGCGACCCTAAGTAAGAACCATTTTTTTAAGGAAACTTGCACATCCTGCATTTTCTCACAGCACCAGAAAGTGCGTAAAAAAGTATGACAGCTCAGGAAATTTATGGTGCATTCTCTAAATATTTCGTCATCAGCATTGCATAGCTGTGCCATTACTCTGCCTTATCAATGCATCGTCTGACACAACTGCAATTTTCGGAAATGCATACAGAATCAACCAATTAAACAACATAAACAGAAGTGTTCGATTGCGGCGTGCTACACAGAACCGGTGCTGCCAAAGTTCAGATGGTGGCGTTGCAGGGCAGACACGGTGCAGCTGCAGCGCATCCTGTCTCGTTTCTTTGCGCCCAAGACGTACTCAGCCAAATATTTTAATAGATAAGTTCACTCACCCTCTGTTGCGCGCATCTCCGCACTTCCGTGTACCACTATAACACCGTTCTAATCAAGAACAGGAAATACTTGGCGTTGGACCCCGTTTACATCCACGAACAATGCCATGTTCAACCAAGCGCAGTCAAAACACGTCTGTTTGTGCCATCTGCTTTAGAGTTGGACCGCGACGGCGCCACCTAGCGAGTAAATTCAAAAATTTTTTTTCCCGCCGTGACATTACTTCTGCGCGGCGCTACAATCGCGCACCGCGGTGAAGTGCACCAGAGAATCTGGGATTGCGGTGTCGTGCACCACGAACCTTTGCACAAGGTGCAGGTGAATCGAACCCACCTATTATGTTGTTGTGAGCACATGCAAATTAGTGAACAACACTCACCTGCTTTTAATGGGGGGCAGTGCTCCAAGTTGAAAAGTACCGCCTTTCGCTCTCCAATCTGCAACAACATTACGAGGACATTTTACTTTCCAATCCTGCCATGTACCCAAAATATTTTTTGGAAAAAAACTCCGGTGCTATGATCGTTCAGTCACTGTGGGGATAATGGCTGGTGCACTTCTTTGGCTGGTGCACGCTTTTGTCTTTGCTGTTGCGTTTTCGACGCTTGTTTTGCATAAAAGAATTGATCGTTGTGAATTTTGTGAACCAATTTGAAACTGTCAGGCTGAAAAGATTAAGGTGATCAAGTGAGACTGCTGAACAACTTGCGACAAAACAGCTCCAGTCCACACATAGCCAGAGCCGAAAGAGCAAAGCCTAGACATATCCGTGTACATGCAAACAGCGAAATAATGAACCCGGATAAAATAAATATCAGTTATAACGGAGTAAATTAAGAATAGTCTTGTAATACAGTTGGCGTCCGAGTTCTCTGACGCCCGAAATTTTGGACATGCCCGATTTCGGGGACTCGTCTGTGGCACCGTCAAGTTCCCCATAGTCAATGTATTAAGAAGTCCGAAATTTGCAAGCTACGACAGTTCCCGTAAAGTAAATTTGCCGCTAATTTTTTTCCACTTATCTTCCACCTGGATTGGACAAGGAGGCTGCTACTGTAACGCGCTTCACTGCATCGCTCCACTCTGTAACTTCTGTCATGTGCCAATGCAAGTCACACTCTTCCATCGCTTCACCTTCGCCCATTTGCGTGCCGAGGACCGCCAGGCAGAACCAACCGACTCACGTATTTGATGTCCTCCTCGCGCACGGTCGGGGTTTCTGCCTTCGTCGTGGCCGGCGGAGGACTGAACCGAACCTTGTGGTCGGCAGCGTCGTTGCCGCGAGTCGGAGACCGGCCGGAGGACGGCGATTTCATGTCAACGTCCTGCGGTGAAACGATTGGTTGACCGATAGCTGAAAAATCTCAACGCCGTCGGCTCTTCAAGAGATATCGTCACTTTCCTGGCTTCCGACGAGCCGTGCTCACAATGTACGTAAAACTCGCGGGTGCTTTATGCACATGCCCGAAATTCCTTGAAGACAGAGGCCACCTTTTTTTCTTGTCAATGTACACTCAAACCTCAATAAACAAACCCGGATATAACGAAATATCGGTTATAATGAACTAAATAAAAAGTCTTGCAATTGATATAATGTTACCATGTATTAACTATATAAATATAGTGTTAGCATAAAACGAATGCTTAAAATTTATCAACTCCTGCACAATTACTTTAAATTAGACCTTTCAAATTATGTGTCATTCACAGATACGAGCCACCAGACACTGACACAGAAACACACTAGAGCATTACAAATGCAACCATGATGCATTCAAATGATCATTAACACAGATTCATCGTCTCAATTTGAGTCTCAAATAGAAAATTTTCATAACGCATTTTAATAGACAGTGATATGAGTAATGAAACCAGCACGTACTTGAATGTTCTATAAGAAGTTATGAAAGCAGCCTTTATTGTACGACTTCAATTTTAGTATGCACTTGTATTTTGGTTATATATGTAGTGTAGATACTGCTCATGGTACAAAGTGCCAAATTGATGTTACTCTTGTTTTCTGCATTGCCGACTTGTTACTATGATGAGCAATTATAGCATCTGTACAGTGTGCCCACCTGCTATGGTCTCAGTAGAGACTGGCAGTATTGCAAATAAACAAATAAATATACTTAGGTTTAGGAATGCACCTTTATAATGAATTTTCTGATGCTATAACGAACTTATTTTTGTGCAAGATGCAACTTCGTTATTATGAGGTTTGAGTGTACTGGATTCAGCTCGCTTGAATACCGCACCTTACACGATTTTGCACTGCCTCCATGGTCGCCAAATTAATTAGAGTTCATGCCATAAAACAATACATATGCTGGCTGAGGACCAGAGAACAGGTCCGAATGGCATTTTCTAAATCAAGAGGGGTGTAATTAAAAATTTTTTACTGTATAGTATGATGATGACTGTAGCATACCTGCCAAGTTCAATTCTGAATCAGAGATTTCTGCGGCGGAAAGGGGGAGGGATGTTGCACCGACTTATTTGTCCCCCCCCCCCCTCCTTTTGTAACAAAAGAAAACAAAAAAAACATCAAGAAGTATGTGGGGTGCACGGGGGGGGGGGGGGGCAGTAAATGTGAGCTTTATGGGCTTATAATGGCTTGGAGTGGCCGAACACACGAGGGTAGGGCTTCCGCACTACAGTATAAGGTATGACTCTCAAAGGGGGTGCGCAAAAATTCATATGTCCCGAACTTTTGCTTTATCAAAACAGCTAGCAAATCTATTTCTGTCAAAACAACTCGCACGTGTCCTTCTGAGACGCACGTGAATGGATGGAACAGCGCAGCCAGCTGCAAGGAAGGCACGAGTTGAAGCTTTGCTTGAGACCAACTGAAAACTGAATGCCGAAGTATGCCCAAATTATAGAGATCAACAGGAACAATGTATGTTACTAGATTATTTGGACAGGAACGCCCAAGCCCTTCTAGCCATTTTTACGTGTTAGTTGCCTTTAATTACTACCACGTGCCTTCGGCTAGTAGTCGCTATTGATGATCCCGTCGCTGCAACTGCGGTTTCGCGCAGCGATTGTGAAAAACAGTAGTTCCGTTTTCAATCCACACGCACTGGCTTCAATACAAAGTCTATCTTTACTATTTATGATTGCACCTGCCTTGGTTGTACCCGCAGCATTCGTGGAAAGCAACGTCACGATGACTGGTTGAGCGTTGGACACGCGTGCACTTTTGGAATTCTGTCAGTCACGCCGTCACCATACCGCGGTTTCATCCACAGCGATTGTGGCAACCAAAAACCACAGCCCTGACAGTGCGTGCGCTGGCCATGCGTGCCCTTCTGAAGCTTCGAGCACACTGCTCTCGGCCTTTGTTCGACGGTTTCAGTACTAAAGTTCATACAGTCCGCCGCTATAAGAAAATGCATTTGGAACATCCAAATTTTTGGAACATCCTAATGGAACATAGTCAAATTTAGCTGGGGAACTTCATGAATTCTTATCTATCGGTTTCACGTCAATGAGGTTCTACTTAATTTTAGATGAATGTCTCCTAAATTTGTTTATAAGATGCGATGGGTTAACAAAAAGCCTGGATCGAATTGGGATGCATTTTCATCAAACCAGCCACAAGAATCTCAGAAACTTCGATTTCAGGGCGATTACACGCAAAAACTGGTCGAAAACGGGGGTCTCCCAGAAAATCCGGGAGACTTGGCAGGTATGCTGTAGCTCTGAGTAGACTAAGACAGCTTTGTTGTAAGAAAAAACAAACAAAAGAAAAGCAGCCCTTGCCATTAGATTTGTGACAAACCACAACATATGCAACAATAAAATGCGAAAGGCAACGTGGCATTCAAGTAACTAACTTATCAGCATGAAGCAACATTGCCACCTCGGGATCTTCGTTTTCCTGACGTCGCTCGTTTACAGACGCGTCTCACCTTTGGAGAGGCGGATCTTGGTCTTGTTGGAGAGGTGGCCACGTCTTGTACCGGAGTCACCGGACGAGGCAGTTTTGGAGACGTGGGCCTGGTTGGGCTCGTGGGTGCGACTTGAGTCTGAGTCGGGCTCACGTTCTGGGCAGCGGGCGGGTCCTCTCCTTTCTTGAAGGGCACCGCAAAATGCCGGCTCACGTGGGCCTGCTGCACCACGCAGCCTTTGGGTCTGTGTAAAACCCTGAAGCAGGTATGAACAAAAAAAAAAAAAAGCTACTATTCAGCATATGCTCTAAGTCGATGCCCGTTTAGCGATCACAATCAATCACAAGTTGCCAGTGGGGCCTCGAGTTACACTTGGCAAAAGATTAAGTGTAGTGCACGACTAGCAAATGAACCAAATAGACAATGAGGCAAGGGATAGCATAGTGGACATTAATGGACACCCTTTTCATATTCCAAATAAGCACTTTCCTGCACTGCGTATTCGCCAACTAATTGGCACCTGCCGTACTTCAAGTGGAGATGAGGCCCTAGTTACACGTGCTGGGGGCTTGTTTATTATGCGTGTTAGTATCAACACCATAGAGTGCATGTTTTCCGTGTCATAGCACAAAAAAAAATTGCACATGCCGTTTGCAGCAAGTTGACCAGCCACCACAAGTGGCACCAACTACTTCTACGGGCGGCTGACGGGAAATAAATTATTCGTTCTGGCGGAAATTCAGCAGTAGCGGGATTCGATTGTATTTTCACTTTCAGAACATTTTAAATACAAGCGTACTGTTGTGCAACCATCCAATTGCACTGTCTCAAATGCCGGATGGCACAGATTGGACACAGGACAAAGAGGACACAGATGCAAAGAAAAAGCGCTAATACGAAACAGCGCAAGATAGCACAAATCTGCACTATCAAGTATTTGGATTGCGAACCTCCCAGCCCAGCAACAAATTTCTTCAATCAATTACATAACTATGTTTTCTTTTTGACAAATCGTCCGATTCTCATTTGTTTCATTGCAGCTTGTCCTGTTATCATTTCAGCTAACACTGTATTTGGAGAACAAACTTTGTATTATGTTCTTTTTTTTCTTCGATGTTCCACTCCCTTCTATAGTGCCTCTGGGCATGGGGTATTTCCCATAAATGAATTAATTCAATAAAAAAAAATCTTCGATCTAAGGCCCTGCAACGCTTTTTCAGCATGGTCAGAAAAAGCTGCCAATCGGTAGTCGAGTCTTTCATGTTTGGTTTACATAATTTTAAGAGTGCAGCAACCAGCCTAGAATTTACAATTATTTCTCAGAGCCAACAAGAAATCATTGCCTTCTCTCTCGACAAACAAGTTCCTAAACCCAAATGACCCCGCCATAAACCCCAAGTCCACAACTACTGGCCGATTTGACCATGGTGATTCCCGTAGTTACAGTAAAATGCTTGCCGGTGCTTCGACTAAAACTGAAATTATGTTGCGCATTCAAATAAAAAAAAAATAAAAGAGCTCATGGTCATGGCATGCGCTGATGGACGAAAGCTTCTTGTCCCCTTGTAATCAACTGCCCCAGCCTACATGATTTTCCGTGCTTTTGCCGATACAAAAGAAGAGAGATGGCACTCAAAGCGTAGGTCAAATCCCCGCAACCACCATTGTGATTGACAAATTCTTGAAATTTTTGCGACAGTCGATTTGCGAGGCAATACTCTTTTCAACGAATCCATTTGACGCTTACTCGAAAAAGTGTTGCTGGGTCCCCTTAAGAATGGCACAAGAACAGCAGTACAGTTGATGGAATAACAGAAAGCCAAGCATACAGTTTCTTATATACACACTAGAGGGAACTCTGGCGCTAATTTCTATGGGAGCTGCAACAAGCGGCGCTTCAGCGAGCATGGGAATAATGGCTAGTACTACAAGAATTTGCCTAGTCTTCGTACTTTACGTTCCTTGAAGCTGCTTTGTCACAAAACAATAATCAACGTTCAGAAGTTGCGCTTCGCCAATTTAATCTTTTAAGCTTACACCATTTCAAATCAGGTGATGAAGTTTAAAAGGGTTCGTTCTTTCATTCGACAGAAAACCGAAACACAGCAATAAACGAAGCCACAAGTGCGTTCACCACCCGCAAGTACAAAGACTAGGCAAATCCGTATACTGCCCATCATTTCCATGATCACTAAATAATCGCAGCGCCAGAGTCCCCTTTAGTTCATTTTAGGAAACTATGAATTTGAGCTAGTTGCAAGTCCTGTCTTATTTCACAATAACGACTTGATAGGCAGGCTAGTTTGCAGATTCATTATGACAATTTGGCAACACAACTTTGCCCTGTCTGTTTGCATGCCACCAAGTTGTCATAACGACAAGCAGAACCTGTGCACAACACAAATCCACAAGGAATATGGAAGAGAAAATCTGAACGACAAAGCTAAACAAGATGGCGTCTTCAAATAAAGGCCACAATACCTGATGGCTGCCCTGCCACTTGTAAGACCAAGGTTTTGCAACGTCGTTGCACGCAGCTGCTCTGTGCCAACAATCTGTAAAAGCAGGAAACAAACAAAATAATGAAAACCAATGCAGTCTTGAGTGGCAAGCCTAAACTTTATAGTGCAGAACTTGCACAACAGACTAAGTTGTAGAAGACGTGCAAGTGCTAACTTCCAACTAACCTTAAATTTTCTTTTCTGGTAAGGAAGTGTTACACACCATTTCATTTTAGAGCTTAGAATCAATACAGTGAAAGAGTATGAGAAACACCCCACTCCATGACCTAATTTCAAAGAGAAATAAGCTGTCTTCATGGCAGCTGGTAAAATCATGTTGTACAACCCACACGTACGTAAGATTTCCTTCTTCCTCTTAACCTGTATATTTATTCTGAGCTCAGATAGTAACATTAGTTGGAAGTTAACACTTGTATATGTCGTGCATCTATATCTTGTGTGCAGGACAAGAGTGGCGATGTGGGCTTGTTGGTGTTGGTGTCTTCTCAGTCTATTCTTTCCTGTGTTCGTTTTTATGCCTCGCGCTACATAAATTTCTTGTGTGCAGGTGCTGCGCTATATAACTCATAACTATGAATTACCACCAGCCCAGAGCAACGCTTCGACCAAACCTTCTTTTTCAAATGAAATTTATGCGATACAAGGCCTCTCTCTCAGTATCGCAAAGTAATAGTACATGAAAGAAAGTATTTGCTCGCATATTAATATTGCGACAAGTGTGTCTGGGTTTGTTTTAACATGCGGAAAATATAAAGATAACGGCTAAAATGCAGGCAAGTTTTATTTTTTTGCTTCAATGCACCCAGAGCATACAAGAAATCAACGTAACAAAAAAAAAAAAAACACGAGTCCATCCCCAATTAAAGAAATTGTTGCTGTGCTGGATCAGCGTGGCATCTCTTATGTAGTTTTCAGCATTGGTCTACTGTGACACGATCTTATAAAGGACGGTCGAAGTTCAAACGTCTGGAACACACAATATTCCTGACAAATGCGATACCTCATATCGGCTTCACAGGTTGTCCAACAGATCCCTTATTCAGCCAACACAAAATATTTAAATAAAATGCCCATAGCAAGTGTACTGCAATGCCGGTAGACCTTACTCCCAAGCTTCAGTTCAGTTCACATTGGGCAAGCATCAGCGTGTGGCCTAGGATTCAAAACACTCATTTTCAGATCAGACAGGGGATTGAAATTCGAACCCCAGCCCTGCAATAAAAATTCCTTTTGTTTTATTCATTGTTTCTTTCGTGCGCACAAGCTGCGAGTGAGAATACTCCCTCACCTCCTGTCTCATGTAGACACACACCAGGTCCATTTTCTGGTCCGCATCTTGAACCTCACTTGGCGAAAAGAAAAGAAAAAAATTAAAGCTCCAACTGACAAATTTGCTATTTGAAACAATTTAAAAATTTAACGAGCAATACTTGAAATACCCTGCCATGCATGATAACATGATAAAAGATGCTTGGTGTACAAGCATGAACACGCTAGCAACGCCTGGACAGCATGAACACCTGCAAAAATTGAGGCCACCTTAGCTTCACCTTCGAGAGTTGAATGAGATAGCCCATGATGAGGACCCGCGAGGCTTCACAGCTCTGCGATCACTTCTACCGTGCTACAAGAAAAAAAATGTCTGTGCGCGTAACATTCCCCACTTGAAACTCTCCTAGGATGCGTGCCTTCTGCGAGTGCAAAGTTCCCCCTGTGCCATAATTCATCACACTGGGAATCTGAAGCACCCATTACACACCTATAGTGCAATATGTGCAGCTGCACACTTTGTTGATGCGGCTGCCAATGATGAATAATTATGCCGGAATGCCTTGTCATACATGGGTCTTTAAAATGGTGGCCGACTCAATGCGCAATTAATAAGGTAAGACACTAGGTGCAGTTCTAAACTTATGCCACACAACTTTACGCCAACTAATGGGCACACTACACAATGCCTGTATAAAGCTTTTCAAGCAGTTTTGATAAGTGGCATGGCTATGTAGTAAAATACACTAGTGATGCCTTGACTACTCTGTTATGTCCAGTGCTTGCACGCCTTCTGTCTTATCATGAATACTTACTAAGTAGTTAAGCACTCAGTCATTCCCATATGCAAATTAGTTCACCCGTTCCCTACTGTTGATAAGCAAAGTCATGAGATTCTGAAATAAAAATTGGTCCCACATGTAAACAGCAAATACTAGTCTTACTTCAGTTTCTTGATGCAAGATGGCCACACCAGTCCATGTTCTGCCAATTGTGTCTCAACATTCATTTTATTGCCATTTTTCATTGTATTGCCATGCGTAAAGCCACCTTTTAGTTATCATTTCTTTGTGTTTGATTACTTAAACAAAGGAGCCCCAATAAATTGAAAGAACGATGCCGTTTTGTCTGCAGAATAAGAGCTTAAGAAAACGAGCATAAAAAAAATAGTTCGGTAATTTGGTCACATTTTTTTTCTTCTCTTCTAGTAGCGAGAAGGTTAAAGAAGCTCCAGATAAGATGAGCCTCCAAATAAAGCCATTTACATCAACTTCTCATAGTGATGAACACAATAAAACCCATTTTAACACCCTTATGCTGAGAGATACAGTAGATTACAATCTCTTAGAATGCAGATTTTAAAAAACTTTCAAGGCAACTGGCAAACCAAATGAACATTTGCTGCATTCAACAAATAAACAAAAACTCAGCTCAAGAGGAATGAATAAAAATAGAAAGAATAAAGAAAACTGAGAATTAAGGCAGTGGGATCAAATTATAAAGAAAAATGAGGATTGAAGAAAGAGGAAGCAAAGGTAGAGAGATGAAATAAGAGCAACAGACGGTCAATATAAGCAGTGAATAAATGAAGAATACAGAAACAAAGAAAGAAGGACAAAAAACAGAAAATAAAGAACGGAGTGTACAGATCAAGAGAGAATTTGAGAAACTGAAAGAGTAAAAAAAAGAGTGAAGAAAGAAAAAAAATAGACTGCACAAAGAGACGTCAACACATGCCGAGAGAAGGAAGCACGTGAGTACGACAGTCGATCCAGTAGTCTACGGTTTCAAAAACAGGTAGCCGTGAAAGCAGAGGCAAAACAGGGACAAAGAACAGTGGTGGCGAGTGTACACAGCATGCGTCTGAATCGCTACGCCATTAAGGGAGTCGAACGACACAGCCGAAAGGAGCCTCTCCAAAAACTGCCCTTCCTGTTGACTCGGAGCATCACATATTCGCCTTTGGGTACTCATACTTGGAAAAAAAATACACTTCAAGCAATTTCATAGAACAGATACTGTGGCCAGTGGCACAGAATGCTACAGCAAGCATGTGCACATTTCGCTTAGAATATTTTTTAAAAATCTCATACACTTTTTGACACAGTTGGTTTTTTTTCTGCTTTTTTTTTTCTTCTAAATATGGAGCAAGATCGCATATTGTGTTCCGGACAGGTCAGGGTCATAAAATACTTTCCGTGAAATTTATGCAAACAAATGTTTGTAAGTGCAATAACGTTTTAATGAGTTTAGGCAAAGTGCACTTGCCCTGTGCTATGCTCATTTTGCACATTGTGATAGCTGCAGCACAATGTATTTTTGTTATTCGAGGAAAGCTTGCCTATTCAAGTTGAGGTTGCAGAGGCGTGTTTGCAGCTACAGCTAATTGTTTTCACCCAACTAAACTGAACACTTAGAAAAAAAAAGTGAAATGAAAACCCGCAGGTTCTCACATTTTACTCGGGCAACAATCAACTGCATGGCAGTGTTTTATCACCGATATTTCAACGACGAACACAGCAACGTATGCAAGCTATTGAAATTTTTTTTTTAGTGTCACCTTGCCCAATGCTATCATATGCAGAACTGGCTACTATCTATCCATACAACTGCCTACATTGTAGGAGTCTTCTGATAAGACCAACTCAGTCACAAGAGCAATCATGCAGGTGATAGTGATAGCGGAGTCAGCATCACTTATCAATGCTGCGGTAATCAGCATACTGTAATTGGCACATAGCGATTCAACACGCCTGCCCAAAACTTACACAGCCGATGCAGCTTTGCCCATCATGTTTCGATATGTCTACCAGCACAGCCACTACTCATGTGTGTCGCACTTTCTTGCCCGACCCCAATAAACTACATCCAATCATTCTTATGCTCACCAGCTTCTTTCATGTGCTCACCTACGGTAAACGTTCGAGCGAGTATACCGTGCAGTTCAAATTTTCCTTGCTGTTCCTGAAAAGCGCAAGCCCATTCCCCCATCCCTCGCTCCACATCCCAATCACACATAGCATCAAGCAACACTGGCCTGCCTGAATCCCATACAATGCTTGGCAGCTCGATCTCCACGTGCTGACACCGAAAATTTAGTCAAATTTGAATTTTTTTCTCCCACATAATCATTACATCCTAAACTTGGTCCAAGATACCCATGCAGACTTTCAGGGTTCCACGAGCAAAAGCACGATCTTCATGATCAGTATTTGAAGTTGGTGCTTACGATCTAGTCAGCAAAAGCAACGCCTCCAAGATAATGTCTTTTTGGCTTCGTGTTCTTGCGCTGGCCCATCAATGGAGGTGCTTCCGTGCCATGCCTTTCATTGTCTGATCACATAGCACTTGATCACAGAGCTCCTTGATTTTGGAAGCCATTCATATAACGCACCGTCCCATAAATTAATTCCGCATGCGCCCAGTTTTCTCTTTTTTTCTTGGTCGGAAAACATTGCCGATGCGATCTCGAACATTGATGCCTTTCCGGCTGCCTGCTCCGTCACTCTCACCCCCAACGTTTTAGATAGTATATGTATAAGCAAAATAATAAACTTTCAGTTGGCTAGTCGAACCTCCACCACTGATGGTGTCAGTGCTAACCACTCCAGCCACTCCTCAGTCTCTACGGGTTACACAAGACACAGTTCCATCACGTTAAAAAGCTGCCAACTATAATATACGCAACCTCACATGTTGTCAGGCCAGTGGGAGACGACGTCAAACAGCGACGCCGAGGCCGGGAACTTTGCCATGAGCCGCTCGCCGTTTTCGAGCTGCAGGCAGATATCCACGCTGGCGGTCCGACGTTGCCCGTTTGCAGCGGCCCGCAGCTCCAGCTCGGCATTGTTGGGAAGGTTCGTGAACGACACCGGCAGGCTGTGCGACAGTGGACGCTCGTGATGGCTGCATGAGACAGGGTTAGAAAATTAAGGGCGTTGATTGAGGTGCGACAATGGCATCCGGTATTACACTCCGAGGAAAGTAACACACTCTGCCCTCTAAGTGTAGTACACTCCCTCCCCTCCGCCCCCATTGAAATTAAAAATTTCCGATTTTTAATGTCTGTATATAAATGCCCACAAAAACATGTGCATACGTACATCAGGATTGGTTGAACGAGCCTTCTGCAGAAATTCTTTATTTTAACCCTGGCTACGTTGCTCGACTTCACAGTGCAGATAGAAGTAGCTTTCTAACACTTTTGAGGTAGCCATGAAATGGATTCACTCACGAATTCAACCTCGCAAGAATTTTAAGAATCCATCCAGTACGAGCAGACTTGCAAAGTTTTGTCGCACTCTGCAATCGCATTCTCTCTACTTTCATCCCGACAAAGCGCTTGAAGCTAAGCAGGCAGGGATGGCAGGGGCAAAGAAAATAAGTCACGGCGCCTCATGACCTTGAGCACTGTTTTTTTTTAATACACGGCTTTTTCAGTGTGATCACGCTCATCGATCACGTTAAGAGTTGCTGTATATGCTTCCATTAAGTAACATATGCAGGTAGCATATACAGTAACTCTAGCAGGCGTGGAGAAGTCGCGGCCTTGTGCGACGATCCCTGTACCGACTGAACGTGCCATGTTCAAATCAGCCAATGGCTGATAGAAGGCCCTTTACGAGCGATTTTTTTTTTAGCTTTTCCTGTCATTTGTCGACAGAAGAGAAAGCTAATTTAAGTTGACTTTGATCATTTATTGTTAATTCCAGGCCGCGTGCTGCGCTATATTATTTGGCTCGCGTGTTCTCAGGAGCCTTTGCTACTGATCGACAGCATTTTCACACCATGCTCAAAAAGTGTTGCAGGGCCTCTTAGAAGAGCAGGGGCGCCCAGTCTGCCCCATACATTGAGAGGGGGAGGGGCATGCTGCGATAAATATTCACATAATGTCATTGAATATATTTTAGAAAAGTAAGGTCTTTCTTTTAACCGAGCCGCCGCATGGCGAGCCCTCTCCCGCCTCCCGGGCCATCGCCAGGTGATGGTCACAAATATTCCTGGTCACAAACATATGTTTTATCAGCGTGACATGGCATTCTGGATACGAAAGCGGCTTTTGTGGGAGCATATGGCAAACTGGGAGAGGAGACTCGGCCTGTTGATAGCTTAATTGATTGATTGAAGGCAAAATTGTTACAAGTTGCCTCGGGGGACAATTCTAAAGGTTAAGTAAACAGCTGAATAGGTCATGCCACCCTGCCAGCAAAGCATAAGAAAAACGCCAGCAAGCATTTATAGTACAGAATGCACGCCTACATATTGATCTACAGTGGTTCCAAGATTGAACAGCATTACGAGTTGGGTGCACGAGATTGTAAACACAGATGTCTTTAGTGGTATTAGTATAATGAACGCTAACTCGCAATCAACTTCGGGCACACAAAAAAATTGTAGAAAGCTTCAAACTGCTATTGCGAGAGAACTGCACAAAAATATAAACGCTCACTAGAGTGCTGGGAATACTAACAATGAGTGCTCACAAGGAGAGTTGATAACAAAAATAAACGACACGACTGGGCACGCTTATGTCCAACAGGTGAAACCAGCGAAAATTGTACTGAAAATAGATTTTAAGGGAATGAGGTATAATCTGACTTAAATTGTCATTAACAGTAATTAAATAAACAATCACACGCCCCAATGGACAAGGTGTACACAAATGCCAGGCATATATGGTCCCAATATTTCAAGGATCAAAGGAATCCATCGTTTTTTGTTAGTTATCTTGTTATTATTAATGATCTAAATGATGTTCCATCCTGCAATAAATCAAGTATGCTTGGCCTAGGAGGCATTGGGTTGGGTGCTGGTTTAGAATGTCTGGTATGCGCGAGCTTAACAGTCAGTCCCCGTTGTGAGAGAATGAAAAAAAAAAAGTGCCCCCCCCCCCCCCCCCCGCCCCAAAGGGGAAACCGGTACAAGCTCATGCAGACTGCGATATGATAAAGAGTGTAATGACATTGAACGTGCCTGTGTGTCGCGTGTATACTGTGTGCCAAACTGTATGCAGTATCATCTATTGTCTGCGTGATTGTGTACCACCGCGTGCTTGCCTTTGCAGTTTATGAACCCAGACGCGCGCACGCGCATGCGTTAATTCTGCGCTTATCTAGCACCCGGCAACGTTTTAGAAACGTTGCTAGCAGCTTACGAAACCGGACGTCGCAGAGTGCGACCGCATTTTTCTTTCGATCGGGAACAATGGCGAACAGAAATGGTCTTGCGTCACTCGTTTCGCTATTTTGGGCGGGGAAAAATGAGAAATGAATGCGCAGCCACGGGCCGCGGCGAGTGGATTTAGCGCACACGCTGTCGCACGTCCCTTGGCGACACTGCACGTATCGGTCAAACGCCATAGAGACCAGCGAGAGCCTCCACTGGAGAGGCCGGCGCTGCGATCGTTTGACGTCAGATTTATTTTTTTCTTTTCTTTTCATTTTATAGGATGATTTTGCGCATTTCTCGGCGTACTTACCATCAAATCCCCCCAAGAAAAAGTGTCCGCTTTCGTTCCTACCCCACAGTGAAAGAGAATCGGACAAAATCTGGATGGAAAGCGGGAGGGCGCGGAGGCTTGCTCAGGTCGCGCATGCAATTTCAAGGTGGCGGCGAAAGAGCCGCTAATAATAAAAAATGCACACGCGTGGTCCTAATAAAATGCTACACTTAGTGTCTTTACTGAACCTCGGGAAATCCTCATGTCAAAATCCATGTGTTACAAGTTAGGTGGGGCTGGCAGTGATAGCCTCCTACATTTCCCTTGCCTGCCAGATTATTTGCAGTCACTTTGAAAAGCAGCCGCCGCAGGAACTATGGTGGTGCCGCCACTTAAGTAGGGGGTGTCTTCAAAAAGTTTTTTTATGTTTTTGAAGCTTATATGCAACAGAAATAACGTGAAAAAGTATTTAAAAGGCGTAAAAGTAATTATAATTTACCCTACGTAAGTGACGCCGTCATTCAGCAGACAACTCCTTCAGTACAAGGCTTAGCTTCTAAAGTAAGTAGCAAACGCCAAAATTGCCGATCTCAAAAGCGAAGTACAAAAACCCTTGAACCTACGCAGGTAGCGCCGCTATAGATGACGGGCGTTTTGCGTTTATTCGGTTGGCAAGAGAAATCTAGGAGGCCATGGTATAGTGTACTAGTACACTATAGCTATGGTTCCGACAATCCGCCTTTTCCACGGCGCATGCGACCTTCCCTAGCGGCAAAGTCGCGACCTACCATACGAAGTTTCAGGAAATTTCATCGAACCAATGTCGCGACAACACTAAGAATACATTTTTGAAATTTGTTCCGTCACGCGGGAAGATTTCAGCGCGAAATTTAAAAAAAATGAAAATTCAAACCCGATTTTCTCCGCTAATTTTGAACTCCTATTAATAGTTAAACTTGTGACGTCAGACTTGTCAGAGGTCGTTTCATCGGTCTAAACCAAGTCGTACGTTGCTCTTTAGCGTCCCTCTAACGCTGTCGCGTCAGAGAGTGCAACTCACTCGCACGAACATATTAAGGCGTAATGTACTCACTACAAATCGTATTCCGACGGGTTCAGGCGTTGCTTCTTGCAGGCGTCTTCCAGAATCTGGAAGGAAGACAAGAAAGTTATACGACGCGTATTATAGAAGAAAAAAAAAACATACTCGTAGGCAAACCAATCATTCCATTGAGATTTCACGAAGAGGGAGAAGCGATGTTGCAAGCAAGTGACGACCAGCAGTTAACAAAGCTAGCTGGATGCACGGGTGCAATTGATGGGAACGTGAACACAAGTCTGATTGATGGCGTTGATAATGTAACCCGTGACGCAATGAATAACCGACACGTGACGTGTCAAAGCTACAATTTAGTGGGCACGTCCCGTTTCACTGACGCCAAATCACGTGACGTCAATGACTAACCTTGCTTAAGTATATGCAATACCAAAGATGACTGTTCGGCAAGAATAGGTTCACCTATCGAAACGTTCGGTAAGCTTGTACGAGGCACTTCAACCATGTTTGTACGAATTACACGCTGCATAACGAAAAGAAAAAAAAACAGCTTAAATAATAACGTTTTTAACGCATTGTTTGTTGTTTTATCTACTGTCTGATGTACCAACTCCTGCTATGCCTCGTTTATAGAATTCCCCACCCAAACCCCTCCACGTACTCCACTCTTTTTTTTTAATACCCCTCCACTCCCTTCAAAGATCGAACTTCGGATGAACTCCTGGGTGCCATTTCAATTTTGTTTGTGCCTTGCCATAACCCTATATGATACGAGGTTCCAGTTTTTGCGCTAGAATAAACACTATTTGCCTTTTTTGTCTGTGTCTATCTACCCTATCTCCAGTCTTTTTTTCTTTTCTTTTTACTCGTTCGTCCATTTCACCATTGAGATGCATGTGATCGCTAATCAGCACATCCACTCGACAAGAACAATAGAGACAGGACGGGTGTTATCCGATTTTTTTTTTTTTTTTTCAGAAAGCACACAGGCGCACAAATTCAAATGCACTGTCACAAACGGGTTTTGCACTTCAGAGAGAGAGAGAGAGAGAGAAAACGCATGTCTCTGCCAGTATCCCTAGCTGCCAGTGTTGGCCGACACTTCGGCGGCGACTCGACCTATATACGCGCGCGACAGTTAAAGCAGAGTGCACGAGTGTTGAAGATTGAGCGAGTTGGTTCGTCGTACTTGAACTGGTATAGCGCATTACGGGGAAGAAGAAACGGCCGAGCAGACCGACACGAGAGGACAGAGCGCCAACTTCCAACTGAGCTTGTCAAACCGACATCAAATACGTAGACCGGCGCAAGCATACGAAACCACCCAACGCACCGCCAAGATTACACACCACATCGCACCGTCACACATGACAGATTCATAGGCGGTTATACTGATTAATGAAGGCCACTTCATGTTCAGATAAAACCACAGACATTGAAGAAGAATGGCGATTTGGGCTAGTTGGTTTGAATTCATGATAAAAAGGGTTGCAGCGCGAGCACGAATGTGCTAGAAGAAACAGACGAAAGTCGAGGCACGGAAGGCAAAGAGGACAACGGGAGCGCTGACTACTAACTGATTGTTATTATTCGCAGCACACATGATAATATATACAACAGGCAACCTTTGAACAGCACACGTGAGCAACGTGACATATTCTGGGGAATGTTCTGATAAAAAGAAGGTACAAAAAATGGCTAACCCTTATCTAAAAGCGCAAACTCTTTGTCATGCAAGGCCACCGAAGGTTGGCTCACGCATTTGTCACCATTTTCATCCGTCACCATTTTTTTATCATGAAAACCGAAGACTGGGCGCTAATACACGTGCTGCCAAGCAGAGTGGTTATAAACGCGCCGTGTAAGCGTATAGAGTCGATTTTTTTTCCATTCCTTCTTTTACCCTCATGCCTGACGCAAACACTAACGATTGCGTAGGAGACTTCGAGAACATTAGGAGTGGGCACGCTCCAACGGCTACAGATTTCGCATACGCCACCACCGCGCACGGCGGTCGAAAACTGGTCGCCGGAGAAAAAAAAAAGAAAGACGTGAAAAAGGGAGAGAAAAAAGAAAAGACACACAGAGAAAGAGACACACAAAAGCAACAGCTGCGCGCGTACTGACCTTATTTTCCGTCAGCGCGTCAAGCGTCTCGCTCGACTCGTTTTTTTTTTTTTTTTTTTTCTTGTCAGCAACGATTCTGGGACTAAACACGTTGCGCAAACCGTAACGTCGGCGCAGACGGCGCGGCCCGAATGTCCACAGCCCCTATACTCAGTCAGCATTTTTTTTTTCTCGGGCACGCAGCGAAAGACGGACGGTTCGGTTTCGCGATGGCCGCAACATAATCAATCAATCAATCATTTATATAACGTGCCCTGGAACAACCATGAGGTCTTAGTGCAGGCGCACGCACAAATAAAACGATACTAATTAATAATAAAAACAATAAATAACAATAAAACAATACAAATTATACACTACAGGCACTCTTCAGAAAAATCAAACAAGAGTGAAAATACACAGAAAAAAAAAGGAAAGGGTAAGAATCTGTACATTGTGGAAAACTGTTAAAACAGCGCAGAGCTGGATAAGAACAATGACAGTATAACGACGATGATAATAATAATAATAATAATAATAATAATAATAATAATAATAATAATAATAATAATAATAATAATAATAATAATAATAATAATAATAACAGCTGGGGCTTAACGAGTCAAAACTAGGGTTGCCCCCTTTTCTCGGCCCTTCGATGAGGGGCGGGAGAGGTGGGCTGAGCTACCAGATTTGATTTGATGTGTAGGGTTTAACGTCCCAAATCCAGCATATGATTACGAGAGGCGCCGTAGTAGAGGGAGGGCTCCGGTAATTTCGACCACCTGGGGTTCTTCAACGAGCACCCAAATCTGAGCACAGGGGTCTATGGCATTTTCGCCTCCATCGAAAATGCAGCCCCCCCCCCCCCCCCCACAGCCGGGATTCGATCCCGCAACCTGCGGGTCAGCAGCCGAGTACCTTCGCCACTAGACGACCGCGGCGGGGCGATGAGTTATCGGGATACTAAATTAGTGTTGAACAATAGACTCCATGCCATAGATCTATGGCGTGCAGAGCCATTTAATGTAACATATTGCTTTCCTTGAGCAAAACAAACGTTATGTACAAAAAAAAAAAAGAAAGGCACACTACGCTAATCTACAAGCCCAATTGCTGGCAAAAAAATATACCCCCCCCCCCCCGATTACGATGACGCTTCATTTACTTCTCTGGAGTAAAAAAAAAAAAAAAAAACGCCGACCGTTGACGGTGGATGCCAACCGGCAACCAGCCAGCTGATTAAAAAACCGGTCGAGTCACACTAAAACCGGACTAATGGCAATTCTGGGCCAAAAAAACAACAATGATTAATAAAGCACGCGATAGTGGGAGGCTCCGGAAATTGGCACCACATAAACCTAAATAGAGGAGCTTCTATACGATTTCGCCTCTATCAAAGTGTGGGCGCGCCGCCAGGATCGGACCTGACACCTTCGGGTCAATCAATGAATCGGTGTTTATTCAATGAACTTGACACAAAAGTGGTCACAAAGTATTTGGACCATTAGCCTGTGTGGCTATAGTTACTTCACTAGCCGAGCATCGTAAACCCCGTAGCACCGCGGCGGCTCACGAATAACATTGAACAAAGGACGATTACGCGATGTAGTGGACGTATCGAGAGTATTTTGCTTTACATCATTCGTACTTTCTTTACACCATAGAATTTCCCAATATACACTAGAGGGAACTCTGGCGCTATAGTGTCTATGGGAGCTGCAATGCACAGCGCTTCAGCGAGCATGGGAATGATGGGTAGTGCACACATTTGTCTAAACTTCGTACTTCTGGCCTGCTCTTGGCTCCGTGCGTGTTCGTGTGGCTTAAAAATGTCTTCTCACGAAACAAAAAAATCGGCAAATGTGCAGCGATTGCGCTTCACCACCCAATTTTTTTTTCGAATTACCTTTCCAAATTGGGACACGAAGTTCAAAAGGGTTGAATCTTTCTTTCAAAACAAAACCGAAACACAGCAGTAAACGAAGTCGCAAGTACGATTCACCGCCCGCAAGTACGAAGACTAGGCAAATGTGTGTACTACCCATCATTCCCATGGTCGCTGAACGATCGCAGCACCAGAGTGCCCTCTGGTTAATTTTGAGAAACTCTGCGCTTTACGCGACCAGGGCGATAGGCTCGGTTAAACAGGAAGGGACAGAACATGCAGTTACAAGTTAGTTACTGGATGAACGGATGGATGGATGGATGGATGGATGGATGGATGGATGGATGGATGGATGGATGCTATGAGCGTCCCCTTCACAACGCGGGGCGGTGACATGTGTGTGCCACCAGACTCGCAAGAAAAAGAAAATGAATAGAAAACTTTCTTTTTTTATGTTGGCCTTATCTACTTCGATTAAATCGATATTATTGTAACAGAGAAAATATGATTTTTTTCTTTCTGCACAGCACGCGAACTCCCAAGTAGCCGAAGTTACCCGGAGAGCGAGTCGTTTTATAGGGACGTTGAACTGCACGTAACAACGTCCGGATTTTCTTTTGTTGTTGGCCCCGCGCCACGGTACGTAATCTAGTGGTACAAGGCACTCGGCTGCTGACCCGCAGGTCGCGGGATCGAATCACAACTGCGGCGGCCACATTTTTTTGATGGACGCGAAAATGCTGGAGGCCGGTGTGTACTTGGATTTGGGAGCACGTCAAAGAATCCCAGGCGGTCGAAATTTCCAGAGCCCTCCACTACGGCGTCTCTCATAACGACATCGTAGTTTCGGGACGTTGAACCCCAACAATTATTCCTGGTAACGTACGGAGATTTCAAACAAATCGAAAAAAAAAAGAAAGAAAGCAGCGCGGGTATACGAGATAAGAAAGACAACAGGACAGAGCGCTTGCAAAACACATAAGCGTTCGTTTCGTGTGAACAAACATATGCGCCTTGCAAAGGGTAAATAGGCTTATGGGGGGGGGCAAGCGCTTCAGTCATCAGGCGAAGCGGCCTTAGGCTTTCGCTCTTCTTTTT